GGACCTACTAAAAACCATTTATTATTTAACATCCATAAAAATTATATTTATATTAATGATGTCTCCAAAGTTCAGCAAAGTTTTTGCAGAAAAATAATTTATCAGGAAGCATGCAAGTGCCATTTGATGCACTGTTCCACAACGAAAACAAGCATAAGCAATGGCGTCGCCAAATGGTGCACGCTCGGTAAATAATCCTACAATTTTTTGTTTATAGCATAGTTTACATGGATTATTCCCAAAAAATTATACGTATTTTGGAAATATTGAGTCGAATTAGTCTAGAATCGATTAATTTTATGGAAGAAAACCTTTCAAACAGCCATAGTCTGTAAACTGCATACATGCCGGGCTGTGATTGGCTCGTGTATTTAAGAACTCATAGAACATCAATTTCATAAAGAATGAAACATAACTACCATGTTATAAGGGGATCGACTGTAGTTATTATTGTACATATGTAATTTCTTTCAAAAATAGTTAATAATAGTCTAGATAATCATTATACATTTACATTACATTAACTCAAATTTTGAGGGAAAAAACCCTTGTACACTGTAATGTAAATATTTAAATAATAAGAAATTTTTATTACCTGATTTAATTTAATATCCATAAGTGTATTACGTGCTTGACCAATTTTTCTTAAATCCAAATCTGCACTAGGGGTAGTCCATCCAGGAGTCATTAATCCACCTGGTGTGGCTGATCCAGGAAATGGTGTTGTCAAGCCTCCACCATAAGGCTATAAAAGAATATTATTTTTTAAATATTATACATTAATTTAAGAAATTTTATCAGAAAAACAAACATTTCAAAAGTAAATTTAATGAATTTTATAATTCTCTATTATATTGTTATTGAATGTTTCAATAGATATTATATATTTTTAATAAATATTGAGTATGATTAACAGATAAAATACTGTATTAACTTTTTAAATATATTTTTAAAAATAATAAGATACTTTTGAAATAGGATGAGAGAATCAGTATTTCAAGATATTTTAGTTGAGAGAGCAAAAAAGTAGAATTTAATTTTGATAATTATTTATTTTATTCTGTTGTACAATAAAATAGGGAAAATTAAAATGATTGTTACAAAATATGTTTTCAGCAAAAATTTACTATCTTTGATTTTATTATAATATGAAGATTTTACGTAAATGTATACCTGTTGTCTTGGATCAATTACAGCAACTGTATCTCCAGTAATACCAGCTTTAGCTAATAAGGAATCTGGCATTGGTGTAAATCTGAATAAAACGATATTTTAAAATCATTAATAATTGCAATTATACGTAAATATTCAACAATACAAAAATTTACAAAAAATACAACAAAAACAAATAATATTAATATCCAAAGACTATTAATGTCTTGGGAACAAAAATAGTAAATGTAAATGTGTTTTTATTTTTAAGAAATATATGAAATGTATCATTTAAATAATAGTAAATATGGTTTCTAATAATCACTGTTTACCATATATTGTAATTCCAGCAAGTTGTCACAAATATTTCCATCTAAAACTCATTTGGTGAAATAATTTAGCTTATTGAACATAAAGGTTAATGTAATAAAAATTTCAGTATAAAGTGAACACTACTAAGCACTGTTTCTACAAGCAAGTATAAACAAGTGCATGCTATATTACAGTGTTGTTCTACATATGTAGCAATACTATCATGCCTAATATTTTATTGGGACTATTGATTTTGGCTGGTTACTGGCTGATGTACAATAAAGTTCTTATCAAGAACTTATTGAAGACTTTTAGTAAGGTCCTACTTATATTCTGCTTTTATATGAACTATATAATAAACACTGGTGTCCTAAAGTATTGCATGCTTACTGCAAAATGCATATTTTTGATAAATCTAATGCTGATGGGTACAATATCTTAAGTAACAGTTATAAAGTGTTTAACTAGCATTTCATCATATTGATGAAAGGATGTATCATCTATACTGTACAGTATTATGCTATTTGTTGATATAAATAAAAATGCACTTAGTAAACTGCTAATCTTGATCTAAGTTAATGCTGTGTGCTGTTAATTGTAATTATTGTGTCAACAGTTAACAGTACAGTATGATTTGACAACCTATGTATGTACAAGATGTATGATTTGACACCTAGAAAGAAAAAAAAACTGCACTGATGGAAGGAAGATCTCGATACGACTCAAACTTGCTTCCATTTCACTATTAGTTGAACATTGCAAAACTTAAGATGTTTGAAAAAAATAATTTATCCTGTAGTGGGTAGCCAAGCATATCATCACCAAGGAATGACAAAATTCTCTGTCACTCGTGCCAAAAAAATTTATTTGCCATGTCTCAGGAATTAATGATGGAGTTATCATAAGTCCATGTGCTGTCAGCAAAAGGCTCTGTGAAGCAGGAATTTTTGTGCTTACAGACAGAAAAAAACCATTACTAAACAGAAAATGAAGGAGAACCAAAATATATCACAGTTGTACAATAGAACAGTGGTAATGCATTATAATTTTAGACAAGATTAGTTTTTTCATTATACAATGATCAGTTCCAACTGGTATGCTACAAAGTGAATGAGAGATGTTAATCAGAATGCCTTGTGAGACCCAAAAAGTATGTTCATTCAATAATTATTTAGTAACAGTCACCTACAATAGCATTGAAAGGCTTTATTTCATGAATGGAACAATGAATTCAAATCATGAAATGTTAGGTATATTTTTCCAATTAATTTCAACATCATCATCTAACATGTTGTTGAAATTGTTGTTAGATGCCACATCATCAAAAAAGGCCAGAGATACATTTTGATTGAAGCCATATATTTTCCAACAAGATTTGGTACCCTGCCACACATTGAGACATGCAAGTGTACATTTCTGGTTTTAATGATGTTCAATAGCATTAAAATATTAAATGATTACCTTAATTTTAGAATATACAATATTTGAGTTCTTTTCACCTTAACTAATTCATACTATATCATACATAAATTTAGCATCATGCTAAAATTTCAACTGATATTATTTCAAATTAAGCATACCTTTCTGCACGAGGATTTCTTTGTCTTTTATTTCGAGCATCTCCAACCTCTGGTATATTTTTCCAATCATCTTCTGTAACACTTGCTAAATCTCTCTGAAAGATAAAATTAATTATAAATTTCCAACTATGAGTAGATTTATGTAAAGAAAATTTTAAAGCTGTACTAATATCTCTATTAAACCTTAAAATTTAAGAAAAACATGTTTTTTTCAGTTTCATATAACAGCAATTGGAATCACAGAAACATAAGCGTCCAATCAGATAAATCTGAAAATATTAATATTGAGGAAAAAAATTTCAAACTTCAAAGCATGGCAGAGAAATATCTTCATACAATTGAAAAAGTATTCAGTGATCATTCATTCAATGCATGCTAAAAGGTTGCAAAAGAAAAGTAAAAAAATTATTATTTTAGAGAAGAAAAAGCTGATTATTTATTACAGAGGTGTTAACCATCTTGATTCAGTATCAAAAATCCTAATATTGAATCAAGATGGTTTTAACCTATTTCTTTATCAGATTATTTCTTTTGAAAAACATACAATAATGGATTTGAAAGCTAAAATCTATCAACATCTTCTATAGCCACTCTTATTATAAGCATTATATAGGTGAACTAGTTGTGTTGATGGATGGAACAAAGTTTTAAACAGCTTTACCATTCATCAACAACAAAATATTTATTGAAAACACATGCATTGCAGGAAAATATCATTTTAAGAAAAGAAACTTAAACTTAAATCATTGTAGTAAAAAATAAAAAATGAATTTCTTTGAACCATTCTCTTACTTAAATTATTTATAAATAAATTGCTATTTTTTATTGCAGAATGCTCTATACAGGAATATTTTTGTTATTTCAATTAGATGTATTTGTACATATAACTGATTGATATTAATTAAATGCAAGAAATATTCCAAAAGCAATGAGATGAGAGTGAGCTATTTGTTTAGAGCAAAACTAATTGTTGAAATTCAAAATGTGTTTCATCTAGTGAAATTTAATTGAAGAAAATTATTCCATTCAAAACGGAACATTTATTACAGTACCACTTTGCTTTTTACACTTTTTAATGTGAATAATAAAATCATTATTGGAAATAGGGCTATTTTTTTAATGTTGTGAAGGTAATTTACAGTTTGATTTTAGAATACAGTTTGATTCTGGTAAAATTGTTGTTTGCCTTATCATGTGGAAATTAATGTTGTGACAATGGTATTTTTCAGGTCAATGGCAAAATTTACTTTATAATATTTGTTTTAAGGCGAGCCAATGGTACTATAGAAATAATACGCAATAAATAAGTGATTTTATTGAATATTACTGTATTTACTCACTTACAAGACAATCTCTCATACAGGATGAGGCATGACTTTAAAGATCAAAATAAAGAAAATTAGATTTATTAATACAATTTAATTTTATTTCATTTAATCACAAATAAAATATCAAATGCACGTAAATGCACACATTGTCCAGCAAAAATTACCGGCATTTTAAACTTTAAGGAAAAATCTTGTAAAATCAACAACATAATTTTTGTTCATGTGAAGCTGGACAATCAGGAACCTTTTTTGCCAATTCTTAAAAGTGAAATTCACTCTCCGTTGATTACACTTATCAGTTTCTCCAAATTCTGATTTCCAAATAATCATCTGTTTTCACATGGAATGGATTAAAACTTACACACACTTCATAAAAATTATTGCAAAAACGCAAAGAATCCTTCGCTTGTGTGTATAGGATGACCTAGATTTTTGAAGCAATGAAAAATGAATAAAAACCTCATCTTATATGTAAGTAAATACGGTATATATTTTTCTGATTAACATTGTCCAACCTTATAGAAATAAACCTATTTGTAGCCTGAAAATATTAAAAAGAAAAAAAAAAGTTTTTGGCGGCCCCAAAGCAAGATCTTCATTGCCTCTATTACTTCATCATCATCATCATCTGCAACTATGGAATGACCCCATAAGTGGGCTAGGGTGTGATAATTGGACAGTGCCATATCCAAGCTAAGGGGATGTGAAAGCAGTTCACACCCAAATTGGTGTACTGTCTCTATTGTTGCTGCTGCTTCTGCAAGGGNTATTAATACAATTTAATTTTATTTCATTTAATCACAAATAAAATATCAAATGCGCGTAAATGCACACATTGTCCAGCAAAAATTACCGGCATTTTAAACTTTAAGGAAAAATCTTGTAAAATCAACAACATAATTTTTGTTCATGTGAAGTTGGACAATCAGGAACCTTTTTTTGCCAATTCTTAAAAGTCAAATTCACTCTCTGTTGATTACACTTATCAGTTTCTCCAAATTCTGATTTCCAAATAATCATCTGTTTTCACATGGAATGGATTAAAGCTTACACACACTTCACAAAAATTATTGCAAAAATGCAAAGAATCCTTCGCTTGTGTGTGTATAGGATGACCTAGGTTTTCGAAGCAATAAAAAATGAATAAAAACCTCATCTTATATGCAAGTAAATACTTTTCTTATATAAANATATAGGATGAGGCATGACTTTAAAGATCAAAATAAAGAAAATTAGATTTATTAATACAATTTAATTTTATTTCATTTAATCACAAATAAAATATCAAATGCACGTAAATGCACACATTGTCCAGCAAAAATTACCGGCATTTTAAACTTTAAGGAAAAATCTTGTAAAATCAACAACATAATTTTTGTTCATGTGAAGCTGGACAATCAGGAACCTTTTTTGCCAATTCTTAAAAGTGAAATTCACTCTCCGTTGATTACACTTATCAGTTTCTCCAAATTCTGATTTCCAAATAATCATCTGTTTTCACATGGAATGGATTAAAACTTACACACACTTCATAAAAATTATTGCAAAAACGCAAAGAATCCTTCGCTTGTGTGTATAGGATGACCTAGATTTTTGAAGCAATGAAAAATGAATAAAAACCTCATCTTATATGTAAGTAAATACGGTATATATTTTTCTGATTAACATTGTCCAACCTTATAGAAATAAACCTATTTGTAGCCTGAAAATATTAAAAAGAAAAAAAAAAGTTTTTGGCGGCCCCAAAGCAAGATCTTCATTGCCTCTATTACTTCATCATCATCATCATCTGCAACTATGGAATGACCCCATAAGTGGGCTAGGGTGTGATAATTGGACAGTGCCATATCCAAGCTAAGGGGATGTGAAAGCAGTTCACACCCAAATTGGTGTACTGTCTCTATTGTTGCTGCTGCTTCTGCAAGGGGACATGCAGTCATGATGCAGTGTTTGAATAGCAGTTCTCATCATTTGCTGCAAATTACAGGTTTAAATCTGTTCCATAGCAAATCACAATAATTTGCACTGTTGACTGTTTGTCCAGGTTTCTGAAAATATACCAGAATAGGTATCTTTGCATCCCAAATGAGCATCAGCATAATTTTCTTTGTCAAGGGTTCTTGTCTGAATTTCTTCTTTATTGGTGAAGAGGGACACTTCCACTCCAAGCATTGTCTTTTGCTCTCTAATTTATATTGATGGACACATGTCTCATCATCTGTAACAATTTTCCAAAACACATGCATTTTCTTCATAGTATTTCAGGAACTGGATAACAACCTCAATGTGCTGTTATCTGTGTCCATTAGAAAATGTTTGAGAATCCACCTTGTGCAAACCTTATGGAACTCCAAGTTATCATGTTTCTTGGTTACTTGGTTTCTTGGTTAGGTTAGGTACATCCACAACCAATACCCAAGTGTGCAGCAACTTGTGACAACATTACTCATAGGTCTTCTTTGATCAAAGCATCTGCCCTCTAGATATGAACTGGCATGAATGATGTTGATGGATGACCAAATCAGCTTTTGTCAGTTACACTTGTTCTTTCTGCTTTAAATATGTCCAGCCAATCAAAAACATTTAATTTCATGGTGCTTGACTCCCATACTGAGTTACCATCCAATGGTGAATTCTACAGGTTTCATTCCTTCTGTCCAAAGAAAATGCACTATGACACATTGTTTGTCAGTAGTGCAATTGCACAGCAAAGGGTCTGTTTTTGTCCTCGTGGTTACATTGTGACTAATGTTGGAGTACTGCACTGTGTGTGGCCAACTACCCATCATCCAATTATCTTTACAGCAAAATAATATCTAAATCTTATAACATTGAATTTAGTTCTTTCTAAATAAATAGTTTTTAAAATTTTAAGTTTATGAAAAGTTATTCTTTGAAATGAGTTTATACTACATAACTGATCATTTCATTTATTCATAACGCATAAAAGGCAAATGAATAAATCTATTTACTTAAATATCTTTCTTGATGATTTTATACTTCCAAAAAGCATAAATTTTAAATTTATAAATATGAGTTTGTTTACAAAATAAATTTAATAAAATGCAATAAAAAAGTTATTTACAGCAAATCTAAGTGAAATCCAGATTAAACAATGGACTAAAATTAAATAATTTACCTTTAAATCTGAAAACTGTTGTTGAATTTTTGGTCTTTCAATACAATTTAATTTTATTTCATTTAATCACAAATAAAATGTCAAATGCATGNGGCAGCCCCAAAGAAGATCTTCATTGCCTCTGTTACTTTATCATCATCATCTGCAACTATGGAATGACCCCATAAGTGGGCTAGGGTGTGATAATTGGACAGTGCCATATCCAAGCTAAGGGGATGTGAAAGCAGTTCACACCCAAATTGGTGTACTGTCTCTATTGTTGCTGCTGCTGCAAGGGGACATGCAATCATTATGCAGTGTTTGAATAGCAGTTCTCATCATTTGCTGCAAATTACAGGTTTAAATCTGTTCCATAGCAAATCATAATAATTTGCACTGTTGATTGTTTGTCCAGGTTTCTGAAAATATACCAGAATAGGTATCTTTGCATCCCAAATGGGCATCAGCGTAATTTTCTTTGTGGAGGGTTCTTGTCTGAATTTCTTCTTTATTGGTGAAGAGGGACATTTCCACTCCAAGCATTGTCTTTTGCTCTGTAATTTATATTGATGTACCCATGTCTCATCATCTGTAACTATTTTCCAAAACACATGCATTTTCTTCATAGTATTTCAGGAACTGGATAACAACCTCAATGTGCTGTTATCTGTGTCCATTAGAAAATGTTTGAGAATCCACCTTGTGCAAACCTTATGGAACTCCAAGTTATCATGTTTCTTGGTTACTTGGTTTCTTGGTTAGGTTAGGTACATCCACAACCAATACCCAAGTGTGCAGCAACTTGTGACAACATTACTCATAGGTCTTCTTTGATCAAAGCATCTGCCCTCTAGATATGAACTGGCATGAATGATGTTGATGGATGACCAAATCAGCTTTTGTCAGTTACACTTGTTCTTTCTGCTTTAAATATGTCCAGCCAATCAAAAACATTTAATTTCATGGTGCTTGACTCCCATACTGAGTTACTATCCAATGGTGAATTCTACAGGTTTCATTCCTTCTATCCAAAGAAAATGCACTATGACACATTGTTTGTCAGTAGTGCAATTGCACAGCAAAGGGTCTGTTTTTGTCCTCGTGGTTACATTGTGACTAATGATGGAGTACTGCACTGTGTGTGGCCAACTACCCATCATCCAATTATCTTTACAGCAAAATAATATCTAAATCTTATAACATTGAATTTAGTTCTTTCTAAATAAATAGTTTTTAAAATTTTAAGTTTATGAAAAGTTATTCTTTGAAATGAGTTTATACTACATAACTGATCATTTCATTTATTCATAACGCATAAAAGGCAAATGAATAAATCTATTTACTTAAATATCTTTCTTGATGATTTTATACTTCCAAAAAGCATAAATTTTAAATTTATAAATATGAGTTTGTTTACAAAATAAATTTAATAAAATGCAATAAAACGTTATTTACAGCAAATCTAAGTGAAATCCAGATTAAACAATGGACTAAAATTAAATAATTTACCTTTAAATCTGAAAACTGTTGTTGAATTTTTGGTCTTTCCTGACGATATCTTTCCAATTCTTTCTTTAATTTTGCTTCTCTAAAATAAAGTAAAAAGTTTTTATTCAGAAAAATTCCATTTATTCAATAGAAATATGTATACACAGCTAGATATAAGATATTATTGAAACTAAAATACAGGGGTCCTACTCAAATTTTAGATTTAATTTCCATGACTTTCCCTGAACAACTTTGTACAAATTTCGACTCTCATGTCTCTACAGTATGATACATTGACAAAATAAAACAGCATTTGAGTTACTATGCACATATGTTTTTGCTTCTCCAACATTTTAATTAATTATTTTTTCTAATCAACATTTATAAAGTAGAACATCAATTATCCAAATGTCAATCAACCGAAACGTTGGTTAACTGAAAGTGTTCCAGTTGGACTGTGTCAAGCTGAATTGAATATTTTTGATACTAGATTAACTTCTAAAGTATAATTTTTTTTGTTTTTATAGTTTTCAATATATTTATTTTCTTTGTACAAAATAAAGAAATAATTTTTAACGATACAATAGCCACAATTATTATTATAAAAATTTTCATTAGGCTTTACATTGACAAAAATTCAATGCGAAGTGACATGCAACAGAGAAAAATTTAAACATGGACTATATTAATATACTATTATTGGGATATACTAATATACTATATTAATAATGTATTTTTTCATACATAATTGGTTATCCAAAAAATCGATTTTCTGAACAACCCCAGTCCCCAAATGATTCGGATAATCGATGCTCTACTGCAGTGTTTCTCAACCTCTAACGAATCGTCGCCCCTTCAATAAAACCGTTACGTAGTATCGCCCCCTTCACTACAAAATTCCAATGCCGAGGGACAAGGCTAACGCCAAATTCGTACTGCATTGAATAGATTAGTGACTAGTATAATGTTATTTGTTTAATTATTGTATGACATAATGAATAAAATATCTAATTATTCTTAATATAATGTTTTACTATATCGCCCAGAAAATTGGTTTTTGCCTCCAGAATATAAATTGTTACTAATCGCCCCCTCAACATGGAAAAATGCCCACATGGGGGCGATATCGCACTCATTGAGAAACACTGCCATAGCTGAACACAAATGGCAGACATTCTCTTTTATATTGTGTGAACTTTAAATCAGCAAACAAACAAATCAGGAAGTGAATTGTCATTCAAACATTCGTAAAATATTTTGAAATTTCTCTTAAAAGAAGAAATTTTTCATTTGAACAAAGTTTCAATGTTAATGAGGCTAGTGTTTTTAATCAAAATTTTTGTTCCTTGACAAAGAAAGAAGAAAAATTTGACTTTAAACATATAGTCAAATCTTGGTATTGCAATTATTGATATAATGATAAATCCCTTCATAATGATAAGAAATATAATTAATTCCCTATGCAATTCATATTAACTTAATGTAAAACTTTTCTTGATTGAATGATATCCTCTAGTGCTATTAATCTGTTTAGAAATACTATGTATGGAAAAATATATATAGGAATATAATATGTATATTCCTATATGTATTTTTCCATAATACATGGTATCTCATATATATTCATTACATAGTATCTCATTTCATTCCCATAATATATATAAAAAATATATTAATTTCATATATATATATATATTAGGAAAATAATTCTTTTTACTGTACTCATAAAGTACAGTAAAAACTGAGAGTAACTTACAGAGAAGCTTACAGAGAAAGGTTGTTCATCAAAAATTTGTATTCCGGAACATTGAAAATTGGCCTAATCATACTATATCAACAGTGCCACAAATACTACTTACAGTCAGTATGAGTACATATCAATAGAAATAAGAGTAGGATTGCTAGAGTTAGCATGTTTTTGATATTTTACAACTTAAATTTTTCATTTACTGCTTGAGATTAATTATCATTTTTTGGTTTGTTTAGCTTCTGAGCAAATTTTTTATGACATTTAATACTAAACAAAAAATAATCCAGTTTTAACTTTTTCTGTAGTAGTTTAGCACTTTTTTTGGGGCTTGTATCTATCATTTCTAGTTTCTTCAAGAAATTATACATTATTGTACACCTGCACATTACAGTCAAAAATTGAAATCTGCCAGAATGTGATCTTACTAAATAGAAGTAATTGTAACACTAAGACATTCCTATATAATTTCTGGAAAAACTTTATTATTGACACACACAGAACCATAACTGATGTGAAAAAAACAAAAATCTAACAACTACCTCAAGACAAATGTTTTCCAACTTCCGAGTTCTTCATCAGTGCTATAACAGTTACAAGATGGAATGTTGTTTTGGAACATAAAGTTTTTTTGAAAGAACTGGAATTCAGAGTAGGAGTATAAAAATTTAAAGCCACACATACATTGTCCTGTGCATAATGACAACTGAACCAACAACTATACTGTTGTGTAAAGTAGAGCCTGCCAGGCCATCAACAAAATCATTTTCTCCTTAAAATTTATACAGGATGATGTAAAATTAGCTTTAAAGATTTCTATCGCCTCCAACCATCTGAGGTGCTCCGTATGGGGTGTAGTGAGAAGTTTGGCCTGCATGAAGTACATCATAATTTTGGATCTCTGTACAGGTAGAAAGGGCCGTGAAAGTTCTAGAATGTTGCATGTCTGAAACATGTTCTTGTATTCTGGTTCTCATGGAATGTTCAGTGGATCCTGGATGGGTCCAGTGGTATAGATCAATTAGCCAATGTACAACTTTAGAGTAACTATGAGCAATGGCTAACTCTTCTATTAGTGCTAATTCAGCATCAAGAGCTTGGAAAGTAGAAGAGTGGATGAAAGCCCTCATAACTAACACTTTGTAGGCTGTGATGATGTAATGATAAGAATCACATGACCCCACTGGCATGTAAGAAGACATTGAACCCAGTTTGCAAAATACTGAAGTGCAAATGTTCAACCTATTAACAGTAATATTGATTGTAGAATTCTGTCAAATGGCAATTATGTTTAAAAATAAAATTGAAGATAAAATCTGTTTAAAAAGGAACCACCATTTATTCACTTTCAATGTTCCAGAATACAAATTTTTGATGACTGACCTTTCTCTGTAAGCTACTTGGCCATCAAAATTAAAACTTCTCTTAAAACACAGAAAAAATATCCAATTAAAAACACAAATTAAGTTTATTTTTAAACATAATTGCCATCCAACAGAATTCTACAATTGAAATTCCTGGTAGCTCTATGTCACCCCATACCACAAACAAAAAAGAGGGGTAGTTACAACCCTAGGAACTTGAAAATGTAATATCCATTCAAATGTTTTCTTTTACAGTTTCCTCAAGTTGATTCTCAGTCTATCCTGGATATTAACAAGTTTGGCATTTTCAACAGAGAAGACTACCAGGTCTTGGTAGAACAAATAGTTTTCAATTTCTATGATCCTCATCAACTTAAAATACACTAATTTTCTGGTCAAATGAATGGCCCTGTTCAATCTTGGTAAGAGGAGGTTCACTTCCAGAGGGAAGACAAATATGAAAAAAAACAACATAGGTAAAAAACTGTTCCTTTTGCAATCCATCAGGAACTCAAATCAAGGTCTGGCCCTAACACAGTTCTACAGTATATTTTAATTTCAGCTGACATTGCTAAACATTAAATTATAACATACCACACTGGGAAATACTTAATGACACAAACAAAACCAATAACCTGTGTGAAGAAAACAAAAAACTGAACTATCTCAAGACAAATGTTTTCCAACTCCTCCTGAGTTCTTCATCAGGCACTATAACAGTTACCAGATAGAATGTCATTTCAGAACATAAAAGCTTTTTTTTTTTTTTTAAAGAAATAAACTTGAACCTCTTCTTACCAAGGTGAAGTTGATGTGCTTGAATAGGGCCATTCATTCAACCAGAAAATTGGTGTATTCAAAATTGGCGAGGACTATAGAAATTGAAAACTATTTGTTCCACCAAAACCAAGTGATCTTGTCTGTTGAAAATGCCAAACTTGTTAATATCCGGGATAGACTGAGAATCAACTTGAAGAAACAGTACAAGAAAAAATTTGAATGGATACTATGTTTTCAAGTTCCATCTTTCTTGTTTGTGGTATGGGGTGACAGAGCTACTGGGATTTGTAGTGAAAGTCTTGAAATAGGAACCTGCATTTGCACCCCCCTCCTAGAACAAATACAAGATGCTTCATCCCCGATTTGAAAATACTCCTGCAAGGTCTCTCAAATAGGCAAAAAAAATATTAACGCTGGATGACAACCTTCAAAATTAAAAAAGCAAGAGAGTTCCAAAGTTTTGGAACTAAGAGAGAAGATTTGATGTTCTATTCATTAGATGCAACTAAACAAGGTTACTTATCAGGGCTGACAAAACCAAAGCATTGGTTCTCATGAAATGTGACTCATACACACAGGGCTTAAGTGAGTACATAGAACAAACTTAATGTGAAAAGGTTGAAGATGGGTACATCAATAAATTACAATCTAGAGTTAAGCATTTCGCCTGCACTAAGCTAGATGGGTGCCTGGCTCTGAATAACAGTTCTCATCCCAGATGTCCTTAATTGTGTTTGTGAAGACCCATAAGCATGGGCAACAACTTCATCTAGTTGTAGACAAATCCAGAGCACCCACACAGGTAGGGTGTGAAAAGTGTTTTTGGA